TTTCACAGCTGCAAGATAGAGTATATGGTTTGTGTGCATAAAATTCTGCACGTGCCAGTCTAGGTGCATCATTGCATTGGCTGTGTAGCAGGAACACCAAGAACTGCATTTTCTTTAAATGCTCTTCAGTGACGATGCCTTCAAAAAGTCCCTGTTGATTGGTGAACAGGCACAAAGCACAGACTGCACCTTCTGCAGATGGCTCCGGTAATAGAAGATATCCTCCAAAGACTTTTCAGTTTACCTCTTTAGGTACCAATGTGACAACGAAACGACCATTTTCCTACTACTTGTTCTAAGTTATTGTAGGGCTGATTCATGAATTTATCTCGCAGGCATCATTTATATTACCAGTTCCTTTTGCAGTAGGCTTGGAAGTGCTGAAGCAGTTCTGCGAACATTTTTAGTTAGTACTTCATATCACAGCTGCAAAGTATGTCATTGCAAACCCTGGGTGGGGTGAGGGGAATCAGAACGAGGATGTAGTAAATAATGACCTGCCTATGCAGTGAAACATTCACAAGACGGACTCAGCACATGAAAATCCACTGAGTAAATCAGCACCCTCTGACTTTTAAATTTCACCAAATGTTTATATAAATCATCCCGGTCACTTTTCAGCAAATCTGTTTATTTCACCGAAGCCCGGCAAATTACTCGACTAACTTTTATTCAAATTATTCACACCACTTTGCTCAGTGAGGCTCCGCAGCCCTCCAGACTTGATCATGTTTGAAATAAAAACCTTTGCAATTTGTAAACTGTCAGGCTTAATATGGGATCTTGGCATTAATAGGTTTTTATTGACTTCTAGCATCAGCAGAAGAAAAGGCTGATAGAGTGCCGTGAAGGAAATGAAGATACAATACTCATTTTGCTTATGTCTCCAGAGTCATATAAATTTGGTTGTTGAATCTGAAATACTCCAGCTTTATTGGCCTGCTCTTTCCTCCATGTACAGTGAAAAGAAGAAAAGGTGGTGAGTGATTTTTACTGAAGCTATTAAACCAGCAGGTTCTGGGCAATTTTTGAGTGTGTAGATGGATTAAAGGTTTGGCGTCCAATTATATGTCTATATAGATATATAGCGATTGATATATATACAGATATAAATTAAATCTGCAAGAATACACAATACACCCCCAACCCTCCATCACTGTACTTCTGCCAGTTTAGACTTCCTCTGTTTCTGCCTACAGCTCCACTTGCCCAGGTGTTTTCTCTCCCTCTCCCTCCAGACAAGTGTTTCCTAAACTTGGGTCTCCAGCTGTTTTGGGACTACAACTCCCATTATCCCTAGCTAGCAGGACCAGTGGTCAGGGATGATGGGAATTGTAGTCCAAAAAGCAGCTGGTGGCCCAAGTTTGGGAAACACTGCTCTAAATGATGGTTGACTGAGAAGAATGAGCCAACAGAGTATTCAAGGAACATATTGGAAGCCTGGGAGAAGGAGTCTTCTGTTGAGGTCCACTGAGAGCCAGTGTGGTGTAGTGGTTAAGAGCGGTAGACTCGTAATCTGGTGAACTGGGTTCGCGTCTCCGCTCCTCCACATGCAGCTGCTGGGTGACCTTGGGCCAGTCACACTTCTCTGAAGTCTCTCAGTCCCACTCACCTCACAGAGTGTTTGTTGTGGGGGAGGAAGGGAAAGGAGAATGTTAGCTGCTTTGAGACTCCTTCAGGTAGTGATAAAGCGTGATATCAAATCCAAACTCTTCTTCTTCTACTCTTGCAAACCATTTTTGAAAAACTTTTGCTAAGTAAACAAAAAGAAAACACCCCCCCACACACATAGTTCATAACTCAAGAGCAGGTGGTTCATAAAGGAAAAGGGGGTTGAGGCCCACCAATATCCTCACAACACCCAATCCCTGGCTTAACCATAGCTGTCTCTATTCCATGCCTGTCTGCCTGCTTGGAGTCTACACTGCTGCTACCTGGCCCCATCCCCATAGAGTGAGTGAGGGGGGTGGGAATCAGCTTTCCCCAAGCAATTTCCAATAGAAAAACAATGTCCAGGCAGGGTGACGAGTCCCACTTGACTTCCAAATAGCCTTTCCCCCTTGAGATTGGAAACACCTAGCCCAGCCTTTCTCAACCTTGGGTCTCCAGATGTTGTTGAACTACAACTCCCATCACCCCTAGCTAACAAGGCCAGAGCTCAGGGATGATGGGTGTTGTAGTCCAACAACATCTGGGGACCCACAGGTTGAGAACCGCTGACCTAGCCAATCAGAGCATGCTGATGTGCTGTGATTTCCATAGGATGGTTTGTTCCAGATCACACACTCAGAAACACAGCCTTCGCTGTTCTCCATCCAGACTACCAAGAAGCACGATCAGAGCTCAAGGACACATTCAGCCAGGCAAAAAAACCCAAGGAGGCAGCAAAACAGGCCCAGTAAGGAGTGTGGTCGTGGGGCAACGTGCCGCCTCTGAAGCTGATGTTCCCCAGCCCTATCATAAAAGGTTGGCAAGAAATAGTAACAATAACTGATCTAGCCCCAGAGAGAAGATTCCAAATAAAAGGCTGCTTGGTTGGATGGTGTAGTCATGTTGTTTACAGCGATCAATGATATTTTTCAGCGAGAGTAAGGGCTTCCCATTAAAGAAATTTTCCACCTGCACCTACAAAGGAGCTGTTTTGTAGTTCACATCATTTTGCAGCAATCAATGAGTGTTTCAGCAAGAGTCAGGGGTTTAAACATTAAAGAACTCTGCTGCATGGGTCTATAAGGCAGCTGACTTAGGGCACTCTGGGCTGCAAATTGCTGACCACGCAAGGCCAGAACCAGTGCTTTGTTTCTAGAAAAAGAGGTGCAGGAACTCCCAGCTTTTGGGGATGGGCAACCCTAAGTTCAGCTTTTTTTAGGGAGTGCCACATCCACAGGTACACCATCGCCCTTCAACGCTGCGGCAATCACAGCACTGTGCAGATTGCAAAGCTATGAGTGCCGAACTCAGTTCCGGCAAGTCACGGCTGAAAAACCCCCAACCCTGGACAGAACCTAGTTTTACACTCTCAGTAAGAGAAGTAAGGTAAAGGTAAAGGGATCTCTGACCATTAGGTCCAGTCGTGACCGACTCTGGGGTTGCGGCGCTCATCTCAATTTATTGGCCAAGGGAGCCGGCATACAGCTTCCAGGTCATGTGGCCAGCATGACTAAGCCGCTTCTGGTGAACCAGAGCAGCGCACAGAAATGCCATTTACCTTCCCACTGGAATGGTACCTATTTATCTACTTGCACTCTGACGTGCTTTCAAACTGCTAGGTGGGCAGGAGCAGGGACCGAGTAATGGGAGCTCGCCCCGTTGTGGGGATTCAAACTGCTGACCTTCAGAGCAGCAAGTCCTAGGCTCTATGTTCAGGTCACAATATAGCTGAGCATCATGAGCTGCTGAAAATCACGTGCCAAACTAGGTAATGATGAGCTTTAGTGACATGACTGTATTTGATCTTTCCAAATGGCTTTTGAAAATGTGGCAGCACCATGGCACTTATCCACTGTTTTAGGGTTGATTCCCTGACTTCTTCTTCTTCATCTTCTTCTTTGGCAATCACTCGTAGCCAAGTAAGAATGTCACTCAGAGGATGACCTCCAAACCATCCTAAATAGCTTCACACAAGTTTACAGAAAGGCTCCCTGACACTGTAACAGCTGCAATTTCAATGCTTTTTTTTTTTTGCATGTGTGGATTATGGATCGCAAAGATTTTGTTTGGCTCACTTTGTGCAGTGTACTGACCTGCTCTGGTGTCCCCAAACTTGCTTTTGGACCAGAATGCAGTCAGATTGTGTATTTTTCCATTCCAAAATGTATACACAAAAAATGCATATTTTACATTAACAATACATGCAAAATGCATATTTTAGTGGGGTAGGGGATACATTGAGAAGCAATGCAAGGCAGTGGAATATGTATTTGGCAGAAAGTGCATGTACAAAATGCATACAAAATGTGTTCAACTTACATGTGAATGTTTTGGATGTTCATCTTGGACATCCACCAGCACAAAATGCTTGTGACTGAATGCTAGTTTAACTGGCATGGAACAGACTTAGGCTGGTATGCCCACCCCCTAGTGTGAATGAACCAGCACATATTAATCACCACGGACAGCAGAGCATTCAAATGCAATGTTTCACTTGCCCATAATTATGTCCATTTCATTTACGCTTCTCAGCCTTCAGCAACAAATTGTCAAGGGTACAGTGATAATGTGTGTGTGTGCGTGCATGAGTGCACTTCTGAGATAGCATCAGACATGGCCCAACACACAACTTCTTAAAATGGCAACTTGGAGCTACTAAGAAAAATCTATTAAGGTGCAATCCTATACACATAAAGCTGGGTGAGAGACACTGATTGAACTCAATGGGCCTTACTTCTGACTAGACATGTGCAGCTTTCCACTGTCAGAAAATTTAAATGTTCATTGATTTAATCAAACAAGAAACTTTCCTACAATTAGCCACATTGAATTGTAAAAGTAAAAGGTAATGGAACCATGGATGGTTATGTCCAGTCAAAGGCGACTATGGGGTGTGGCGCTCATCTCGCTTTCAGGCTGAGGGAGCTGGCGTTCGTCCACAGACAGCTTTCCAGGTCATGTGGCCAGCATGACTAAACTGCTTATGGCACAACGGAACACAGTGATGGAAACCAGAGCACATGGAAACACTGTTTATCTTCCCACCGCAGTGATACCTATTTATTTACTTGCACTGGTGTGCTTTCAAATTGCTAGGTTGGCAGGAGCTGGGACAGAGCAACGGGAGCTCCGTCCATTGTGCGGATTCGAACTGCCAACCTTCTGATCGGCAAGACCAAGAGGCTAAGTGGTTTAGACCACAGCGCCACCCACACCCACTGATTGTCAAAGTACCATTGAAGAGCACCATAGTGCTCTCATATATACCTAATCATTTCAATTGAGTCATGCAGGATATATTCTCACTGGACTGCACCATTTCAGTATAAGAAAGTTGCTGAAACAAACACGCACGCACACATCAGTGTCATATTTCAATATCGCATATCGAACAAGCTGCTGCAACTCTGAAGGACTTCAGAAAATGCACATACACACACTTCGCTGACAAGCTGGTTTTTCTCAAGTTCTAACAATAATCGTAATAATAATTTCCCATATTTATGAGACTTCCACTCCTGATCTCCAGTCCTGGTGAAAAGAAAACATATGTTACATAATTCATTAAACCCCAAAGGCTTTTTACATATATTACCATGCAAAAAAAAATATGTGTTAACACTCAGGGCAAACGATTTTCAAGATAATTAAGAAAATGAATTGTGGCAACGTTACTGCAAGACTTGAATTACAAAAATACTTTCCAATGATATTTCCTCATATTCGTGTAGGGTGTTTTTCTCTTTCCTGTTTGACTCAGAATTTGTAATAAAGAGCAATGCGATAAAGGAAGCGCTATCAGAACATTAAAACTTTTCCATTTCAATCAAAGCTGTTCCTGGTTACCAAATTATTTAGAGGATACGCTTATTTTATAGCCCATCATAAAACCTTTGCAAATAAATACCATATATGTCTAGATAAAAGAGGTGCAAGAAGATTGTAAATGATGCGTGTGGAACTCCCAGCCCATATCTCATTAACTTTTTTGGCTTGTAATCGTTTTTTGTGTGTTAAGGTATAAAGTCCACCAGCCAGGTAATATATGAAAATGGGTGCATATTTCATCTTAAAAGTGACTAATTCAATGTATGGGGGGACAGGATCCAGAAAGTGCTACAATGAAGATTTGGAAAGAACCAGGGATGGAATATCTGTAGCTGATAAACAGCTTCCGTGATCAGCCAGTTTTATATAGCTATTGTGGACTTTTCTGGCAGGACTGCAATGCCTCAAAAATTTAAAGCTTATGCCCTTGGAAACACACCTGGCTTCCTAGCAGTACATGTGAAAAGGATCTAGGGGTCTTGGTGGACCACAAGCATAACCTGAGCGAACAGTGTGATGCAGCCACTAATAATTAATTTCCATGAGGAATTTTTTTTTTAAGGGAAACTGATGTGGACATGTGGAGAGCTGAATTTAAGACTGAAAAAAAATGTGAAACCAAGAGAACATGAAATGGACAGATTCACTCATCCCTATACCCTGTGTATTAATACATGTAGCTGACACTTTTCAAAGAAATCTTTTCTGGCAAAGAAACATGGTTTGTCTTAGTCAAGCTAGAAGAGCTCGCTCAGGATAGTTTCTCCAGGGAGTGGTGACATAATAGATCAATCCCCTTAGGGTTTGGGGTTTTTGTCTTCATCATTATTATTTAATCAGTGCTCATTAAGCAAATCTCATTTGGTCTTGCTGACCTTGGCAGCATTACAGAGTCTCGTTTTCACATGGCTGAAATGGTGCTCTTAAAAAAACAAAATGAAATCTCCTCTGTATTAGTAACCAAGAAAATGATTCCAACCAAATTGTGTGCATTCTTCCCACTGTTCATTCTTTACCTGCTTTTATATCTCTTTTTGATATATTCTCCTTTTGATAGAATTAAAACTTGGTAGATCAGGGTGCTGTGAACATAGTGTATCTTGATTTCAGTAAGGCATTTGATATAGTCCCCCATAGTACTCTTGCAGAGAAGCTGGTAAAATGTGGACTGGATGAGATAACTGTTATGTGGATTTGTAGCTGGTTGACTGACCGAACCCAACGAGTACTCATTAATGGTTCCTCCTCATCCTGGAAAAAAGTGACAAGTGGGGTGCCACAGGGTTCTGTCCTGGGCCTGTTGTTGTTCAACGTCTTTATAAATGACTTGGACAAAAGAATTGAAGGGATGCTCATCAAATTTGCAAACTGGGAGAGGTAGCTAATGCCACATAAAAAAGAACCAGGATTCAAAATGACCTTAACAGGTTGGAGACCTAGGCCCCAACTAACAAAATGAATTTCAGTAGGGACAAATGTAAGGTTCTGCATTTAAGCAGGAAGAGCCAGCTGCACAAATATAAGATGGGGGACACCTAGCTTGCCAGAAGAGAATATTGCATATTTTATTGAAACTCTTTTAGTTCTCTTCTTAGTTCCTTGGGAAATTATACTTTGATTTCCTCCTGCCAGCTGAAGGCATAACACCTCCAGTTCATGGGACGAATTAGGCCTCCCCATTTGACTTGTGAGGTCATTTCAGTCTAGTCAGATCCACCTTCTCTACACCTAGCATCATAAAATAATGATATCCTAACAACAGCAACAGCAACAACCAAGTTACTGCTCCCTGTATTGAGTATGGGTGTATTTGGTTTCGCATACAGCTACTGGAAGTTTATATCAACTGTCCTGAAACTCTGGAACAAACTGAATTTCCCATGGTAAAACTGTACATTTATAAAGGTTGGTAAAACCAGTCTTACCTGATAAGTCTTCATCTTAAGCGGGTGTAGTTTATTTGCTGAGTTCTGCTTATTGCATTTTCTTCACAGGGTTAGGTTCATATTTTATTTTGTAGCTGTTTCATTTGTTTTACTTCATGTGCCGCACATCTGATGCTGTTGGAAGAGACAGCGAACAAATGATTTTGTTAAGTAAGTAGCAACTGTGGGTTTGTCTCTCTCTGAATGTTTGTGCACCAACATGGCCACAACAGCCTGTACTGATTTATTAAGGAGGAGTGGTCTGGACTCTTGAGTTCTAAAGAAGTAAGGACCTCTGGCATGGTGGACTAATTCTTTCCATATGCTTTGAACTGTTTCAGCGAATGTGCCTGCCCCAGACGTTGTTGCATTGCGAGTAAGATCTGAGAGATGCCAGAGTGTGATCTTTTTTGTCAGCCACTTAGCTTTGGGGCCTTCATTTTATTCCAGTGTAACTTTGCTGATGTTACCTGCGTGTCTGAACTCGAGAACGGGCTTTTGCCACTTTAAACGGAAAGAAAGAATGCAAGAGACTATCAGAAAACTTACCAAATGTTTTATTCTCTCTGTAGTAGTCCCAACAGAATCAAAACAAGATCAGACAAATATATCCTTGTACTTTTAAGTGTTTCAAGGTTTGAGTTAGTCAGAGTCTGACAATCGCTGATGGTTGCAAAACTGGAAAGCTACGTTCTCCATGGACCCTCACTCCATCCCGGGCACTGTGACATAATCTGTCAGGGGCCAAAGTTATGGAGGGAAGCAAAAGAAGGAGTCATGACCACCAGCTCAAATGCCAGTTGCTGGGAATTCCAGGTGAGGAGAGTGATGTTGTTAGACCCACCAAGTGTCCCTATTTTCCAGGGACCATCCCGGTTCCTGATTTGATCCCGGAATGTCCCACTTTCCTTTAGGACGTCACTATTTTCATCAGAGAATATGGAGTTATGCGGAGCCAAGGAGATAAGTAACTTTAAGGGTACCTCGGGTTACATACGCTTCAGGTTACAGACTCTGCTAACCGAGAAATATTACCTCGGGTTAAGAACTTTGCTTCACGATGAGAACAGAAATCGTGTAGCGGTGGCACAGTGGCAGTGGGAGGCCCCATCAGCTAAAGTGTTGCTTCAGGTTAAGAACAGTTCAGGTTAAGAACGGACCTCCAGAATGAATTAAGTTCTTAACACGAGGTACCACTCTATACAACTTTTAGAAGACATCTGAAGGCAGCTCTGTATAGGGAAGGTTGTTTTTTTAACAAAAAAATGTTTAATGGCTTATTATGTTTTTATATGTGTTGGAAGCCACCCATAGTCAGATATAAAGGTAAAGGTAAAGGGACCCCGGACCATTAGGTCCAGTCGCGGACAACTCTGGGGTTGCGGTGCTCATCTCACTTTATTGGCCGAGGGAGCCGGTGTACAGCTTCCGGGTCATGTGGCCAGCATGACTAAGCCGCTTCTGGCTAACCAGAGCAGTGCATGGAAACGCCGTTTACCTTCCCACCAGAGAGGTACCTATTTATCTACTTGCACTGTGGCGTGCTTTCGAACTGCTAGGTTGGCAGGAGCAGGGACCGAGCAATGGGAGCTCACCCCTAGTTGTGGGGATTCGAACCGCTGCTGTCGCGAATTCCTCGCGGCACTTTTAGCAGAATGCTCAGAGTCCCAGGTTCTTTAGTGCAGTATTTATTATTGTGAGTTAAATATATATACAAATATCTACAGAAGCAGTTCATATAATCACTGCATTCCATCGTAAGTCCATTCCCTCCCATTTTCTGTAGATCACTTTTTAAAGCCACCCAGACACCCACCCACATAATATTTAAATTGTATGCATTTTTATACACTCTTCCCTTTAAAAAAAAAAGTCTTTTCTATTTCCAAGGTTTGGGAACTGTGAATTAGGTCAGTTAGCTTCAAAATATGTTCTGAATGAAATCCTCCTCTATCCCATTCCCTGCTTCTTATGACTATAAACTACACCATTTCAGATGCAAGGAAATCACATTCACCTTTGCAGCTATTTCTTCTTTCATTTTAGCCATGGGACAATAGTGCTCAAATAGAACAAAAGGACACTGGATTGTGGTGTTGTTGTTTTTTTCATGCAACACAATTGTTTCAATGGTAATTTCCTGCTGCCCCCTCTAATTAGCTTTCGATGGCAATTAATTCCACACAATGTGAAGTTTTCCTTTTGCAAACTTTTCCTCCTAGCAAATGATGGCAGCAATTCCGAGCAGGTGGGTGTTTTGTGCATCCTGTACATTTGAACTCATGCCTAAGTCTATGTGAATTGTACCAAACATTTGAAGAGTTATTCATTGGAAACAATGTTCAGCGTGTGCACAACTCTTTTATTCCTTCCCCCCACCACCCCCGTGCAAATTCTTCACGGAATCATCCTGAGTTTTGCTGATATATCTGTCATTTTTAAGTAGTGGCTATGTACTCTGGCTTAACAGCATTTACAAACATGCTTTGTGTTGCTCAAAGGATATGCTTACTGTATACCTAAGTGGTATTTATACCATTTAAAATTGCAGCCCATTTCACAATGCAAGTCTCGTTGTTCCAGCATCTCAGTTTTAAAGATGTGTAGGAAATCAGCCCTGAGTGCTCACTGGAAAGACAGATCGTGAAGCTGAGGCTCCAATACTTTGGCCACCTCATGAGAAGAGAAGACTTCCTGGAAAAGACCCTGATGTTGGGAAAGATGGAGGGCACAAGGAGAAGGGGACAACAGAGGACGAGATGGTTGGATAGTGTTCTCTAAGCTACCAGCATGAGTTTGACCAAACTGCAGGAGGCAGTGGAAGACAGGAGTGCCTGGCGTGCTCTGGTCCATGGGGTCACGAAGAGTCGGACACGACTAAACAACAACAACATAATATGGAATGTTGGAAAGGCTTAAAAGTGCCAGGGTCCTCATATACAGGAATAATTCTCCTCCTGCAAACTTCAGTGTTTCATCTACTCTAGAAGGGTTTCCTTCTCCCTGCTCTTTTGAGTTTATGAACTGAAATTTCTCCCTCCATGATTAGGAACATTGGAAGCGGCTTTGTATCGAAACAGATCTGTGTTGTTTGCACTGACTCACAGCAAGCCTCCAGAATTTCAGGTAGGAGTTTCGCCCAGCTCTACCTGGAAGTCATGAGAATTGCAGCTAGGACCTTCAGCTCCGCCATGAAGGGCGGAATTAGGGCAGTGCAAGCAGTGTGGTCACACTGGGCATGCAGCCAAGAAAGGTACCTTCTCAAAGCCTGACAAGTGCTTGCCCAGTTTCAGGAAGGAGGAGTGAGGGCTCTGGCAGGCTCCTAGAGTCCTCCTCCTACTTCCCAAAGCAAAGCAAACACTTACTGGGATTTGGGAAGGAGGAAGGAGGGTTCTAGGACCCTGCCAGAGCCTCAAGCCTTGAGGGCTGGGAATATGGCATCAAAATAACCTTGCAGAGTGGCATATTAGCAAGGTCTGCCCCTGGTACCACAGCTATGACCCTTCCCCTTATAGTTTGAGTCCCTGCTATTAGTTTTAAGGAGTTATAAATTGTTATAAATTGTTATAAATTGGAGTTATAAATTGTACCATGGTTGTTCTTTCACAATACAGTGGTACATTGGTTTATGAACTTAATCCATTCCGGATGTCCGTTCTTAAACCAAAGCATTCTTAAACCAAGGCGTGCTTTCCCATAGCAGCAGGGGGTTTAATTTACAAATGGAACACACTCAACAGGAAGCAGAACATGTTCTGCTTCCAAGGCAAAGTTCACAAACCAAAACACCTACTTCCGGGTTTGCAGCGTTCTTAATCCAAGTTGTTCATAAACTAAGCTGTTCTTAAACCAAAGTACCACTGTATTGTTTTTTTGATTGTGTCTGTGAACGGCTCTGAGTAAAAAAATATTTATAGAAAGTGGTGTGTATGGTTTTAATCAGCAGATCACAGGCCTCCTTGTCACCTTTGACTAGAGATTGGATTTGGGGATTTAGGCATACTAAGCATGTGAGCTCTTTCTCAATCTCTGACATCAGCACCGCAAAACCAAGAAAACAACTCATCCTGCTATCTTGTGCCAGTTCTAAATTTCCCTTCCCAAACCCCTTTCAATAGAAAGCTGGCTGGAAGGTTAACAGTTTGATTTCATCAATCGATTGGATTCTTCAAGTATTGAAAATTGTCTCGTTCACATATCATGCATGCTAGCTTGCACCAATTAAAATGGGATGAAATTGCATTCATCCGTAGGATCGCTGCATGCTTTGGGATACCTGTACATTCTAGTAGCACACTTCACCCTAAGGCAAAGTGCTCTGATGACGGAAAGTCTGTTCACGTGCCCTTTGGCATGTGGAGAAGCGTGTTGGGTTTGCTTTGCATGTTTTGAAATGTGCTGCATGATATAAACAACTTCCAGAACCTGGAGTGTGCACATGGTGCTGATTCTTTCTAGACTGTGCATACATCTCCAAATGGATGGTCAGCCTGATGTGGTTTGACAGCACCAGTCACCTGTCTGGACCAGGAGGGGATGGAATCTAGGTCATTTGTTCTCCCTTTCTGCCTCAACATGCATTTTCAAAGCTGGCAGTCATCTGTTTGGCACATGAAGGAACAGAGATGCTCTAGATGGTTAGTTGCATTGTTTTATCTTAAGTTTTTATTTAGGGCATCACTTTATTGATTCTGTTTACATCAATTATATGCTACATTTCCAAAGCAGTTAGTGAAGCAACACACACACACACACACACACACACACAAATACAAATCCAACCCTTTGAAGTGGATGTTGTTGGACCTAAATTCCACCATCCACAGTCAGCATAGCTGGTGGTCAGGGATGAAGAGAGTAAATTTTGGAAGAATGTTGTTGTTGTTGTTCAGTCGTTTAGTCATGTCTGACTCTTCGTGACCCCATGGACCAGAGCACGCCAGGCACTCCTGCCTTCCACTGCCTTCCGCAGTTTGGTCAGACTCAAGTTTGTAGCTTCGAGAACACTGTCCAACCATCTCGTCCTCTGTCGTCCCCTTCTCCTTGTGCCCTCCATCTTTCCCAACATCAGGGTCTTTTCCAGGGAGTCTTCTCTTCTCATGAGGTGGCCAAAGTATTGGAGCCTCAGCTTCAGGATCTGTCCTTCCAGTGAGCACTCAGGGCTGGTAAAATGCGGTCTTGACTCTGCTACCACTCAGTGGATTTGTAACTGGCTGACTGACCGAACCCAAAGGGTGCTCATCAATGGTTCCTCTTCATCCTGGAGAAGAGTGACTAGTGGGGTGCCACAGGGTTCTATCTTGGGCCCGGTCTTATTCAACATCTTTATCAACGACTTCGATGATGGACTCAAGGGCATCCTGATCAAATTTGCAGATGGGAGGGGTGGCTAACACCCCAGAGGACAGGATCACACTTCAAAACGACCTTGACAGATTAGAGAACTGGGCAAAAACAAACAAGATGAATTTTAACAGGGAGAAATGTAAAGTATTGCACTTGAGCAAAAAAAAATAGAGGCACAAATACAAGATGGGTGACACCTGGCTTGAGAGCAGTACATGTGAAAAGGATCTAGGAGTCTTGGTTGACCACAAACTTGACATGAGCCAACAGTGTGACGCGGCAGCTAAAAAAGCCAATGCAATTCTGGGCTGCATCAATAGGAGTATAGCATCTAGATCAAGGGAAGTAATAGTGCCACTGTATTCTGCTCTGGTCAGACCTCACCTGGAGTACTGTGTCCAGTTCTGGGCACCACAGTTCAAGAAGGACACTGACAAACTGGAACGTGTCCAGAGGAGGGCAACCAAAATGGTCAAAGGCCTGGAAACGATGCCTTATGAGGAACGGCTAAGGGAGCTGGGCATGTTTAGCCTGGAGAAGAGGAGGTTAAGGGGTGATATGATAGCCATGTTCCAATATATAAAAGGATGTCACATAGAGGAGGGAGAAAGGTTGTTTTCTGCTGCTCCAGAGAAGCGGACACGGAGCAATGGATCCAAACTACAAGAAAGAAGATTCCACCTAAACATTAGGAAGAACTTCCTGACAGTAAGAGCTGTTCGACAGTGGAATTTGCTGCCAAGGAGTGTGGTGGAGTCTCCTTCTTTGGAGGTCTTTAAGCAGAGGCTTGACAACCATATGTCAAGAGTGCTCTGATGGTGTTTCCTGCTTGGCAGGGGGTTGGACTCGATGGCCCTTGTGGTCTCTTCCAACTCTATGATTCTATGATTCTATGATTTCCTTAAGAATGGATAGGTTTGATCTTCTTGCAGTCCATGGGATTCTCAAGAGTCTCCTCCAGCACCAAAATTCAAAAGAAATCAATTCTTCAGTGATCAGCCTTCTTTATGGTCCAGCTCTCACTTCCATACATCACTACTGGGAAAACCATAGCTTTAACTAGATGGACCTTTGTTGGCAAGGTGATGTCTCGGCTTTTTAAGATGCTGTCTAGGTTTGTCATTGCTTTTCTCCCAAGAAGCAGGCGTCTTTTAATTTCGTGACTGCTGTCACCATCTGCAGTGATCATGGAGCCCACGAAAGTAGAATCTCTCACTGCCTCCATTTCTTCCCCTTCTATTTGCCAGGAGGTGATGGGCCCAGTGGCCATGATCTTCGTTTTTTTGATGTTGAGCTTCAAACCATATTTTGCGCTCTCTTCTTTCACCCTCATTAAAAGGTTCTTTAATTCCTCATAAACTCCCTATTTAGACATTCAGAGATATTAGATGTTAAATGGAATCGCTTGCAGAATTAAAATATGAACAGTGGATGGAAAATAAAATATAATATTAATAGAAGAATTATAGAATTATAGAATAGATAAAGGTAAAATGCTGCATAGAAGACCATGGAAGAAGGATGGGAAGTCAACTTTTAAATTATGCATTAAATTATGTATTTAATTTGATGTTAATTTGCTTAAAAAGAAAGGAAATTCAATAAAAATTAATTGGCAAAAAAAGGGGTCTAGCAACAACTGACAGGCTTAAGATTCTCCAACCCTGCTTTAATGCCACTTAAATCATAAAACTAAAGCAACTATCAATAGCATAAATAAGATCATTCAACTCTTAAAAGCTTGATGGAAGAGCAATTTTCTTTCTACTTTGCTGCTGGCAATCTTCCAAGTGATAGCATCCCTACTGAAAAGACCCACCTCCTTGAAGCTTCCAATGGAATATCCACGCATGATGGGATCTGGATTGGGGCTTCAGTAAATCTCAAGAACTGAGGGAGGAGGTGGATACAAGGTGACTACTTATTCACCACCCAGAATGGAGGGGGTGGCAAACACAGCACAAATTTGCATACAAAAGTTGCATGTGCTTATATGTGTGAGCGTAGAAATGCAAATTTAGAAATAATTAGTATAATTTAAATAGAAATGTGATGCCTCTCACTGTAATGAGGGAGAATGTGTGCCAGCAGAGCCACACCAGGCTATTTTTGCACCCTAGGCAAGGCTAAATACTTGCACTCACCTCCTCAAAATTTTAAAAAAAATGCTAACTTCAATTTTCAAAAACAGGTATCTGGTAGAAAACATGAACAGCCCCACACCTGGAACTGCTAGATTTGTTTTAAATTGCAAGAATAAGTAATACAATATTTGATTATCTTTCTCAGATTCAGAAGGAAAGGTGCAAGCACACAAACCATTTTGAATAATCTCACAAATTGCCATTTTAAAATTTAAGTCCCTTAAAAGTTTCACAGCAAAACGTCACTTTGCGTGCCTTTTCCTTTGCAAGTTTTGTCCACAATTCCCTCAGGCTGAGGGCTGACGCTAGGGCATGTTCTGCGGCTATAGTTGCCAAATCAACTATGTCTTTCGCGACATTTCAAGTTTTTATATGTTTGAGCTTTCAGAAACTGTGTCAGGGATATGAAATAAAAGTAAAATATTGGGAATGTATAAGATATAACTAAAACCAATCTGTTGAAAACTGTGCCCTTCCGAGGTCTGTGGCCTAGGCGGCTGACAAGTTGGCGTAACTGCAATTTGGCGGGTGCCCGGCCACTCACAGTCCCACATAGATGCCGTGCCTGCCCAACCCTGGTCTCTATCACAACACAAAATCATAACACCAGCCCTGTGTGCCAGCTCAATCTACTGCCCGGGTGTAACCGTTGCTGGACAATCTTAAGGTCCCCAATCTCCCTGGTTATTTTTTATTTTTATTTATTGAATTTATATACCTCCCTATACCTGGGGGTCTCAGGGCGGTTCACAGAATAAAATCAAGATACATAAATACAGAATACATAAAAACAACAACCCAATAGCTGCCCCCCCATTTTTTTTTTTTACAAGGTGATAGGATGTAAATCAAATCAACCAAAGGCCTAGTTAAAAAGGAATGTTTTTGCCTGGTGCCTAAATGTGTATAATGAAGGCACCAGGCAAACTTCCCTGGGGAGAGCATTCCACAGATGGGGCAGAGAAGGCCCCGTTTTCGTGTTACCACCCTCCAGACCTCACAATGAGGTGGCACATGAAGGAGGGCCTCAGATGATGATCTCAGGGTCTGGGTAGGTTCATATGGAAAGAGGTGTTCTTTGAGGTATTGTGGTCCTGAGCCATTTATTTTTCTTTATCCTTCAACCAGACCTAGAGTGAGTTGCCATTCAAACAACTCACTTCCTCTGGAAAATAAGGCACATGTCTACCCTAGGAAGAGAGGAGGTGATCTCTATAGAAGGGCTGGGGAACCTGTGGACCTCCAGATACTGTTGGACTTCATCTTCTAATATCCTTGACCATTAGCCATGTTGGTTGGGTCTCAATGAAGTTGGCAAGCAACGTCTGGATGGCCACAGGTTCCCCACCCCTGGTCTCTGCCATAACGCTAAATCTCTTTCTCTTTCCTCCCTCTTCCTGGCCAGCCCTTAGCTGTGAATATATAGTGCCAGCGGAACACCAATTGGCCTCAACCATAATATCAAATACAGCATGCAATATGTAAATACAATTGCCATACTGCTCTTTGAGGCTCTCTCACGTTCAAGGATGGATTAATATTACTCATTATTTTATTTTATTTAGTGTTTGTTACAGCTGGAAATGGAGCACAACAAGGTTTTTCACAGTAAGTGCAGTCACAGTGTTAATGAAAGCTTTTATGACAATGTAACAATGAATTCCAACATTACCAACAAGTTTAAAAGGGTCAAGTGTCCAACTTCAGATCTTTCCATCATTCACAAAGTTGCAAGATGTATACCCTATTCAGATACCTTATTTCCATTTCAACTGAATAACATATTGTTGGCAGGAATGAGACGACTCAAGCATCTAAATAATCATAATGGAAAACAATTCTACTCAGCCTTGACTCTGATCCATTTTGCAATTGATTGGCTTCAGTTACTCATGATCTCTTTGTTCCACATTTGCTGAAATGTTGAGATCTAAGAAACTAACTTACATTTAGCCACATCAATGGCTGATCTTGCCTAGCATCATAGCTCCGATTTATGGAAGTGACTGATCTGATGTATCTTTCCTGGGTGTCTCAGGCCGACATTCCATAAAGCTCTACTACCTAAGTTGTTTCTTTAACTAACAATGCAAAAAAAGATTGAACGCCAAGCCCTCACAAGCTTCACCCCAGCCTTTAATTCATTTCACTTATATCACAGGACTTGAATTCCACAGCACTCTCCTGCTTGTGATGTCCTGCGACTGGTATTCAGTTGCATGGCACCTCCCTGAATCCTGGGAGCTGTAGTTTGTTGTGGGTGCTGGGAATTGTAGCTTTGTGAAGGGGCTCCTGACAGCTGTCAGCACCCTTAACAAATTACAGTTCTCAGGATTCTTGGCAGGGGGAGGCGGGAATGTGCTTTAATTCTACAGGGTGGAATTTAACATAGCACTAAAGAGATAGTTCCTTCGGTGCAAGCATTTCTGCTTGTCAGAAGAAACCACCTCCCCTCTCTTTCCCTTGCACAGATTTGGGGAAGGAGGGGAAAGTTCCATTGTGCCAGCAAGCATCCATGTGCTAGCTTCCCCTAGTGGAATGGGGTAGTTGAATCTGACCAATCATGTGTAGGCCACCTTAGTTATGGCTGACTATGGGCCTTTTTTTCAGCCAGAAGTTGCCAGAACTCAGTTCCGGCACCTTTCAGGTGGGCACCACTGCCATTATAATAGAACAAGGGGGGCGTTTATGGTGAGTTCTGGCACCTCTTTATCTAGAAAAAATAACACTGCCTGACTCTATTGGAAAGGTCAGGGGTGGAGCAGACAGGGCAAACAGATGCACCCTCTACAAGCTGTTTTGCCCTCACACATTTGGCTTAATGCCTGAACAGAACTCATGTGAGTGATGCTATTCTGTGTGAATGCTGTCTGGTTTGTGTGGTGCACACAAACCAGTGAGCATAAAAGAAGGATAAAGAATATGAATATAAACATTCCTTTCGTTCAACGTTTCACTGAATTGCAAGTCTCAGGTTAAGATTTACAGTGTTATGCCATCAAACAAGTTTTTGCATCGTAAATACAACTAGACCGATTTTAAGGAGATGTTCCTTCCGCAGGAAGCCTTTTAAATCGACACTTTCCACGATGCAATCCCCTGGGCGTATATGAGAACTTTGATATAAATGGTTTTCTCTGCTAGATTTCCTATGTTAGTTGTACTCTTTATTTACAGAATTGGGGACCTACCTCTCCCTGGTGCTTGATGCTTGTGTTTGTGTGGAGGTTGGAGGTCCCTTATTTCTATTGGCATGTAAAGGGGATGACTTCTCTGAAGTTAGTCAGATGACCTACCTCTCTCTCATGTGTTGAAAGCATACAGTTTGGGATTGTGGGGGCGTGCTGGTAAGCTTTCCCTTCCCACAAAGATGTGCAATGGCCATGCCACCCTAGCTGTGAGTTTGGCCGCCATGTGAAGGGGCCATGAAGTTGTAGTTCAACAACTCCCATCAGCCCCTGCCAGTGTGGCAAATGATCGGGGATGATGGATGCTTTAGTCCAGCCACACCGGAATAATAATAATAATAATAATAATAATAATAATAATAATTTATACCCCGCCCATCTGGCTGGGTTTCCCCACAAAATATTTTTCTTCCAACAAAATATTAAAATACAGTAATGCATCAATCATTAAAAGCTTCCCTAAACAGGGCTGCCTTTAGAAGATGTCTTCTAAAAGTCTGGTAGTAGTTGTTCTCTTTGACATCTGGTGGGAAGGTGTTCCACAGGGCAGGTGCCACTACTGAGAAGGCCCTCTGCCTGGTTCCCTGTAACTTGGCTTCTCACAGTAAGGGAACCACCAGAAGGCCCTCAGAGCTGAACCTCAGTGTCCGGGTAGAACGATGGGGGTGGAGACACTCCTTCAGATATACTGGACCGAGGCCATTTAGGGCTTTAAAGGTCAGCACCAACACTTTGAATTGTGCTCGGAAACGTACTGCATCATATTGGCAGATGTGGCCAGTGGTGATCTCAGGTGGTGCTTCCCCAATGCTGCACATCACTGCTGGTTACTGAGAATGAAAGGCTGTGAGGAGCTTGGTGACGTGTGAGTCAATGGCAGGAGTGTTGGATTGGCACTGTGCCAGCACTGATTCCCACTGCATCTCCCTCTCAGTAACTGAGAACAAAATGGCGCTGGGAAGCCAAGCAATGCCATCCTGCCCAAACCCCTGTGGCAACCACTGTTGTATATTGCCTACTGGGGCTTCACAGGTACTGGTGTATGACCTTCAGACGCTTTCAGGGAAAGGGGATCCTGAATGGAGAACATTTGTGTACATACGTGTGTGTGTGTGTGTGTGTACATGTGTGTGTGTGTGTACACATGTATGTGTGTGTACATACTAGGGACTCTGCCCCATCTCTGCTCTCCAACCCACCTACCCCTTTGGCAATTGCTCTTTCTCATACCAAGATCCCCTCCCTTTCCACCTCGCCCACCCCCTTGCCCATCCTCTCACAGCTCACCACTCCCTTCACAGATCATCCCAAGCCCCTCCACTCACAGCTTGCCCCAACCTCCACCTCCTTTGAAAGGCACATTTAATGTGCAAGGTAAGTGCTTCATCCTGCGGCTTGCTAAACTTCTGGGTCAAGGGCCTCCCCCATTAAAGCTCATTGCAGGCACATTTAGTGGAAGGGGGAGGCGCAAAGTACACCCCCCCACACACACATACACACACTTCATTAAACAGCTCACCTGGGCCAGCCCGCCATGCTCTGTGCTGCAGCATGCATGGGAAGCCACACAAACTGCTTGGTGACATTTTACTTTTTGTATATAGGAAGATGCATACTGAGCCCCATCACATAGTCCCCAAATTCATGGTTGGCTGGGGTGTACGCACCCATTCATGGTGGGTGTACTGTTGAGGGGGAAGAATTTTGTCATGGGGAATGGGTCAAATGAGTGCAATCCTATAGCTCCTCCCAAATCTTCCAATGTGTGAAGCAGGTTAGGTGAATCCCCACTATTCCCATCATCCCTGAAAAATGTTTCCTGTGGATTCAGCGGCTAGAATTGGGGTATCTTTTTCAAAGCTGGTAAAAAGAAAAAAGAAAAAAAATCTCTTGCCCCTTCTGGAAACGTTTTTACTTAAAACCCACAAATTCAGTGAACATTAAGCAAAATTATTTTCACAGATTACTATCTTCAGTGGAACCAAATCCATTATCTTTGGGAGACAAGTTGCTTTATGACATGTTTTAACACTCACATTTGTTGCATAATGTCTCAGCACTTTGTAAGTGGGCTTTATAAAATGCTTCTTGAATTATACAGCTGAGCTTTTTATATAAAAAAAACCTTCCTCACTCTGGGCAATGATCTCAAGTAGTTGTTTTAGATAGATACCTAATTCTAAAACAGTGTTTTTGCTAGCTTTTCAGGATTATGAATGGTGCTAGAATTTCTCTTAAGAGATCTATTGAGTAATAAGTACTCGTTTGCACCCTGAGATCTCAAAATTTTGGAGATCTATTTCAGAGGCATATTAACACTTTGAACCAGACAAGGGGTGTGGAACCTGCGACACTCCAGATATTGCTAGACTCCACCACCCACCACCCCTGACTCTTGGCCATGCTGGTTGGGGCTGGTGGGAGTTGGAATTGAGTAACATCTAGAGAGCAACAAACTGTGTGGAGCAACAACCCTGTAGGAAGGTGAAGGGCTGGGCTTCAGTCATTAACAATTTTTGCAGGGGGTAGGATCAAAGAAACATAAATTGCTACTAGACATTCATATGGAAGTTTGAAAGGATTTGGGAGGAGGGTTTAGCAATCTAAACTGAAAATCAGGTTTGGGGAACAATCTACGTACAGCCCTGGCTTCAGACTTTTTCAGCTAGGATCAGGGGCGTCTTACCTATAGAGGCTAGTGGCGCAGGGTGCCAGGGCACCAGGTTCTGGAGGGCGCCAGGGAAGAGGTGGAAGCTGGACAAGGTGCCTCCCAGCATCAGCTTGCTGCCCTCCCCCAGCCTCCACCTCTTCTCTGCCATAGGAGCTGCCCTCCAGCTGCTGCCTGCTTCCTCCAACCCCACTGGCAGTGCTGTCCTCCCTAAAAAAACTCTGGGAAATGGGGGAGGGCGTGCCGGAGGGAGCTTTGCACCATGGCACCGGATATGCTTAAGACGGCCCTGGCTTGGATATAGGAAGAGGAACTTAAGGCTGTACTGTGATGACATTGGGCCCCAGAGAGATTGTCTAGAATCCCAAAGTCTACCTCTTCTCTTCCAAGTGCTGGAGAGGGTGTGGTAGTAAAGATCTTTTTTGCCCATGTTGTGGGGATACTCAGTGATACCTTTTGGGCATGGGTGATTAAAGAGATATCCTCCACTACTGGTCAGATACTGGCTCTTGACTCTGGGATGGCATTACAATCCTTTGACTTGCTGGATGGCTCCCTACATTTCTGTACTGGAGGGAGGCTTACCCCTTCCACCAGGTGGGCAGCTGTTGCAGATCCTCATGTCGGGTTGCCATCCTAGGGCAGTAAAAGAAAACAGAATGTACACAGCCGGGTGGTCATTGTGGGAATTCCCCTTGGCTGCCTGGGCAGTTGGCTCGAGTTCCAGTATAGAACAATGTTATTACTGGAGTGGGTGCTGGTGGCACTGTGATCTAAACCACTGAGCCTCTTAGGCTTGCCAATTGGAAGGTCAGTGGTTCGAATCCCCACAACGGAGTGAGCTCCCATTGCTCTGTCCCAGCTCCTGCCAACCTAGCAGTTCAAAATCACATCAAAGTGCAAGTAGATAAATAGGTACCTCTTGGTGGGAAGCTAAATGGCATTTCCGTGCGCTCTGGTTTCCATCACGGTGTTTGTTGTGCCAGAAGTGGTTTAGTCATGCTGGCCTCGTGACCTGGAAAGCTGCCTGTGAACAAACACTGGCTCCCTTGGCCTGAAAGCGAGATGAGCGACACTACCCCATAGTCCCCTTTGACTGGACTTAACTGTCCCGGGGTCCTTTACTTTTATCTTTTACCTTACTGCTGGTGGCTGCCAGCATATGGAACATGGCTCTTTCTGAAAGCTTTGCACAACATCAGAAAGTGGCCAGAGTTGAATTTTAGCATGACAAATGTGAGGCAACAAAGTTTTGCTTTCTCGGTTTCATTACCAAAATGACAGGGTCTCATCCACCACCACCAAGCATGGCTCGTTCTGCTGTGGCATATGCGTTGAGCTTACCTTTTGGTTCCGGCTGTGTAGTCTTTTACCTAGTAGGAACTCATGGTATTGTTTGACAGTTTATGTACTTGGTCCGCGATTGTTTGTTTTTACGTGCTCAGGTGTTTGCATGTTAAAATTTCCATTTCAAATATTTTTTATTTTTTATTGCAGAGGAACACAGAATCATTTGAAGTACTGTTGATGCTTATGACTTGGGGGCAAGTTGGAAATGGGGGGGGGGGAGAGATCCACAACCAGATATTCTAATGAGCAAATGCTGCTTTCCTGGGGCAAAGGAGGCAGTTCAGATTGTGGGCCATGGTGCTGAATAGTTAACACTTTCCCCCAAGTTATGTTCCCAGCCAGAATCAGCTCTCCAGAGGCAACGGAGACAGAGCTTTGGCACAAGTATCAGTTCAGCTGCAACCAACCATTTTCCTTATACTGCTACTCAATAACAGCAGCAACCAAAGGTTAGTTGGGAGCTGCTCAGCTCCAGAGGCTTTTCTTCACCCACTTGCAAGCTACATGATATATATTTGATAAACTCAAGTCATTAGCATGTTAGCAAATATATTTCTCAGCACTCTTCACACAAAGATACCTTTAAAAAGACATGCTGGGTTGACCCTGCTTTGGGCTATTCCTTTGCCTTATGTAAACTTTGTTTTTGGGCTATTTCTTTGCTTTATGTAAACTTTGTTTATAAACCCTGGCTTATAAACTTTTCTTTCCCCTGCTCTGTAGCTCATCCACCTTGCTTGTCTGCTCATAATTTGGTTTCAAGCAATGCTTTCCCCCCTAAAAAAATGTTTAGAGATACAGTCATACGTTGTGTTGTGTCCGATCCATGTTGCGTCTTTTCACGTTAAGTCCCACGATAACCCGGAAGTACCAGACTGGGTTGCTTCTGGGTTTTGCTGCTCGCGCATGTGCAGAAGCGCTAAATCGCACTTCACGCATGCACAGAAGGGCCAAATTGTGCTCGCACCTGCACAGATATAACGCTTCAAGTTGCGGGCATTTCACATTACAGACGGGCCTCCAGAACAGATCACTGAAATACTGCCCTTCAGTGAGGCCAAGCTTAGATTCACAAAACGTTTAGAGGTATGAGTACCTCTGCAAAATCCCCCCCCCAAAAAGCACCAATTTCAAATATATATAAAATTCATCCCTGCTTATCCCTTCCCTCTTCTCCCCTGTTGATCTTCTCTCTCCTGTAAAGAATATAAAGAAAAGCTTGGCTGGTGCATCAAGACCATCTACCACACATCCTGTTTCTCATGGTGGCCAAACAGACACCTATGGGAATCCTGCAGACAGGACCAGCATGCCACCGCCCTCTCTCCACTTCTGATTCCCAGCAGTGATTCCCAGAGACACACTCCCTACACCAGTGGAGGAAGAACACACCCATCATGGCTGGTACCCACTGATACCCTTTGCCCTCCGTTAGTCTGCTGAATCCAGTTTCGAAGTCAGTGGCCAACACAACATATTGTGGGATATAATTCCACTATGTTTAACTATGTGCTGTTCGAATAACTTCTCTCCCACCCTCCCCCGCCCTGAACTTCCAACATTCTGGGTGGAATTCAGCAACTTTGTTGCATTGCCATGTGAAATAAATTTGGTTGTTTGCATGACTGCTTGATGTCATCACATTGCCTACATGATCAGAAGAAGAGTTTGGATTTGATATCCCGCTTTATCACTACCCTAAGGAGTCTCAAGGCAGCTAACAATCTCCTTTCCCTTCCTCCCCCACAACAAACACTGTGAGGTGAGTGGGGCTGAGAGACTTCAGAGAAGTGTGACTAGCCCAAGGTCACCCAGCAGCTGCATGTGGAGGAGCAGAGACGTGAACCCCGTTCCCCAGATTACAAGTCTATCGCTCTTAACCACTACACCACACTGGCTCTCGGTAATTGGATGTGACAGGTGTAAGAAAAAGCAGCTACTTGAGGGCCACCAGTGACCCATTCCTGGCTCAATGGCCATGTTCCATCAGATCCTGCCATTGGTCATTTCCCTGCTCTGTGTATTTCAATGGGAATTTGCTCAAGGGTGCATAGAGGATACCTGGTAGTAGTACATATGGAATTCATTCCCACAAAATGTAGTGATAAGCCTACCAATAACTATTAGCCATGATTGTAATGTTCTATCAGGGACAATATTATTCTGAATGCCAGTTGCTGAGAATCACAAGTAGGATGAGTGCTGTTGCTCTCACAGGATTCCCATAGGGATCTGGTTGGCCACCATGAAAACAGGATGCTGAACTATATGGCCCAGTGGCCTGATCCATAGCTGACTGCGCCCAGTTCTTTTATTGCCTTCTTCTTTCTCTGAAGAGATAACCTAGAAAAAGAAAAAGAAAAAGAAAAAAGAATGGCAGCTTAAAACCAACAGATGCGGCTTTTTATTATTATTTTCTCTGAAAAGAAAATAAATGAAAGAGTGGATAGCTCATGCATGGCTGCTGTAAAAGTCCATATGCTCCTCAGCAAGAGTAAATTAATCTTGTACATGAGAGGCCCTCTTTCAGCCATCTATTGCTTTCTAAATTAAAAACACCCCCCCCCCCAAAATAAAACCCTGCCAAGTGAGGTTTATTGAGGTTTGTCCTCGAGCTATTTACACAGCAAAATTAATTTTGTTGATCAGGTTTCCTCCTTTGGTTGACTCTGTGATCTAATTCCTCCCATGTATGAAAAACCAGATTAATAGGAACCCAAGATGGTTTAATATATTTTGACAGCAAACACTTATCTTTAATCTTCTCCAGTTTGCTGACAGTCATATCACCTTATGTATTCCATGTATTCCCCCCTCCCCCTCCCAGCCTCAGTAATAGGGGCTTCTGTGCTAACAAGTTGCACAATGCCTCTGCGTGTTTGCATTGACTCGAATACATTTGATTTCCTCACTGACTGATAAGCGCATCAGACAGCAGTGCACAGCAGTGGGCTGGGAAAGATGCTTTTGTTCATCCCTGTTCATCTGCATGACAAGAGGGAGCATGAACACTCCCAGAGCTCTTGGGACAATCATGCAGATAACGCAGGAGCCTGGACTATCTTCAAAAGATGCAGCCGTCCCTCAGGCCAAGGAAGGAAGTGCCACAGTGATTACTTGCATGAGTGGAGTTTAACAGCCTTCATATTAGAAGAGTAAATACTTCCTAAGGATCCCTTATTGGCAATGCATGGACAAGTCTGTCATTTTCAGATTCTCGCAGTTCCTCATTTTGCTAATCTTACATTCAATTAGCCACATTTTCCACATCAGTTTAAAGCCCTTATGACTATCCCCCTAGTATTTTAGTGCACATTCCTTGTAATGGCTTACACACTATTCTAGGTATCTCCCCACCCCCCTGCCCTCCAATGCAACACAGTTTAATTTTCCCTAACATGCATTTTAATGCACACAGTCTCCTAAATACACATTTTTTGGTGGCCGCACAATTAAATCACAATATTCAGACGAATTGGAAGGATATCTCTGTTTCAGTATGCATATTTGGTTCAGTAAATGCAATTTGGGAAGATTTGCATTAAAAGGTGAACTGAACTAAATGACCCTCCTATTCCAATTTGCAACACGGCACACATATTGATCACGAATTGGGGGTGGCCATTCATCATAGCAGTAGGAGTCACATATTTGAGCTGAGAAGTACTGATGGGTCACTGTCTGATGTAGACTGATGCAATTGGGATGGAGGCCACAGTGCAAGCCTAACTTCATTCTATCTTTAAAGGGGGGAGAAATGATGCGCTTCATAGCAAAATAAGTGTTCTCAGCTGTCAACGTGTCTCCTCCCCTCCATGCTTAAGGTGAACTACCAGTGTCTCATTTTTCTTAAAGTACCTTTGCGATTGATTTTCCCAGAATGTACTTACTTAAGTTGCAATGAAACCTTGCATACTTGCCACGTATATGGGTCCTTAATTCTTACTAAGAATATCTCCAGGGCTCTCTCCAGGTCTGAGGTGATCTTTGGTAAAGTCCCATCTAGTGATGTACTTCAGGAGGTCTTGGTAAGCTTACCTAGAGGCAAGAACCTGAACCAGTGCTGAGTTTTAATTGTCCACAGTTTAATTTTCCAGGGCCCTGCGGGAAATTAAAATGACAGCACCAAAAACAAGATGCTTTATAAAAGTATGTTTGTGGTGGGGAGAGATCAGATTTCAATGGTGAGCTCTGACAGCTTCCCCTGCATTTAGCTTACTAATACCAGACCTTAAATACCCCTAACTACTGAACTCTGAAATGGCAACCTTCATTGAATGTGCAACCCTAGTCATTGGGTGTGAGTGTGTGTTTATCTGCTATATGTTCTTATATCCCATCCATCAAGGCCAGCCCAAGACATTTTGGCATCTGAGGCCAAACCACAAAATGCCTCCCTCTGTCTGAAAAGAAGGACAAGAGGGGAATCAAGTCAACCTTGCTTAACAGGAGCCCAGGAGACCCCAGAGGGCAAACCTCACCATTTCCTCCCCAGAGGTGGGAGGAGACCATCAGTGCCTCCTATTCTCCAAGAGGCCACTCTGAAGGTGGGAGGAGGAGGCTGCAAAGGAGACAGCAGATCTGACCTCCAAGGAACACACCACAGCCATCACTGCCATCGTGGCAGTGACGGCAGCAGGTAATGGAGGCTGGATGCGTTGCTTCTGTGGATCTTGCTGCCTGAGGCAGTCACCTCACCTTGCCTCATGGGCTGGCCAGCACAGCTGCCCATCCTCCTGCAGTAGCCCAATGAAATGACGGCATACTTTGGCTGGCTCAGGGAAAACCAAAGGTGGTAAAAGAGCCACATCCAGTGCCTTGCCAGACTCGTACCAGCAAAGCGGAAGTGAGGGTAGAGGAATTATCTTGTGCTCCTCTGCCTTTTTCGTCCACCTGCTCTTTTCCTCCACCTGCTCTTTTCCTTCCACTATAAACTGAGAAAGTAAAATACAGTGGTACCTCGGGTTAAGAACTTAATTCATTCTGGAGGTCTGTTCTTAACCTGTTGTTGTTGTTGTTGTTTAGTCGTTTAGTCGTGTCCGACTCTTTGTGACCCCATGGACCAGAGCTCGCCAGGCACTCCTGTCTTCCACTGCCTCCCGCAATTTGGTCAGACTCATGTTTGTAGCTTCGAGAACACTGTCCAACCATCTCGTCCTCTGTCATCCCCTTCTCCTTGTGCCCTCCATCTTTCCCAAGATCAGGGTCTTTCCCAGGGAGTCTTCTCTTCTCATGAGGTGGCCAAAGTATTGGAGCTTCAGCTTCACGATCTGTCCTTCCAGTGAGCACTCAGGGCTGATTTCCTTCAGAATGGATGCGTTTGATCTTCTTGCAGTCCGTGGGACTCTCAAGAGTCTCCTCCAGCACAATAATTCAAAAGCATCAATTCTTCGGAAATCAGCCCTCTTTATGGTCCAGCTCTCACTTCCATACATCACTACTGGGAAAACCATAGCTTTTACTATACGGACCTTTGTTGGCAAGGTGATGTCTCTACTTTTTAAGATGCTGTCTAGGTTTGCCATTGCCTTTCTCCCAAGGAGCAGGCGTCTTTTAATTTCGTGACTGCTGTCACCATCTGCAGTGATCATGCAGCCCAAGAAAGTAAAGTCTCTCACTGCCTCCACTTCTTCCCCTTCTATTTGCCAGGAGGTGATGGGACCAGTGGCCATGATCTTCGTTTTTTTGATGAAACTGTTCTTAACCTGAGGTACCACTTTAGCTAATGGGGCCTCCCGCTGTTGCAGCACTGCAGCCACACGATTTCTGTTCTCATCCTGAAGCAAAGTTCTTAACCCGAGGTACTACTTCCGGGTTAGCGGAGTCTGTAACCTGAAGCGTCTGTAACCCGAGGTACCACTGTACAAGGGAGATATTTGTGACAGCTCTTGAGCTGGTCTAAAACTTTCCCTGGTTTGTAGAGGGTGTTGTCAGGTGGCCGAGAAGGCCTTTTCCTTTACATCCAAGTCCCTTCCAAGTCAGCCCCTGACGTACACCCAATTTACCCTTTGGGTCTTAGTGATGTTTATAGGTCCATGGACATATAAGTAGCCAAGAAAGACAACAGGGAGAGGGCATGTGACATCAGATGTCCCTCCCTGAGATTCTGAGATCCACCTGCTTGACCTCTGGGGGGGGGGAGATCCAGAGCAACATGTGGTTTCTGAAATAACCTCCTGGGACCCATAGGATTGCAGCCTAATTTTTTCTTTCATTGCTAGTTCTGGACAGCCAGCCTTGAGAATCAACTCCATTCTTGCATCCAGGAGAGCATAATGAGAAAACAATTATGCTTGCAGGAAAACTGTGAGGCTTGACAAGCCTCAGGGTCTTTGATTGTCAGCTGATGTATTTTTTTTTTACAGACATGTCATCTGAATGGCTAAAATGCGGCAGCACACACTCGACTACTCATCGAGGAAGATGGAGATGATGTCTTTTGATTTTTCAGCAAGGCGTCACTGAAATATGATTTACTAGGCTGTCAGCCTCGTTATTTCTGGCACGTTTCCAAACATGCCACAAAGGTCAGAATTAATTTATATAATAATGAGGTCACATCAAGCTATATATTGGAACATTTAGACAAAGCTGCCTCCAAACCCTTTTGGTCATGCCGTCAATTTTAACTGCATATTACAG